AGACACGACACCTAAATGTAATGTGTCTCCTGGATAGGATCCTGAAACAGAAAAAGGCCATTAGGTAAAAAGAAAATCTGAATAAGTATGAACTTTAGTTAATAATAACATATCAATATTAGTTCATTAGTTGTGATTAAATGTACCACACTAATGAAAAACTTTAATAATAAGGGAATCTGAGCATGGGATATATGGGAACTCTCTGTACTATTTTCTGTAAATCTCAACTATTCTAAAATTAAAAGTTTATTTAAAATTGTTTCATATTTTTGGATAATACACAATTCAAAAGACAAAACAATCTAATAAAATATACATTAAGAAGTCTTATTTCCACCCTGATCCTCTCAATTTTCTGCAGCCTGTAGGTAACCACTTTAATTAGTTTCCAATACAGACGTGTTTTTGTCACTCTCCGGACTTTCTTACACTATATATTGTTATCTTGCTCTTTTCACTTCACAATAGGCTAGCCATCCATAGAAATCTTCCTCATCTTTTTTGACAGCTGCCTAGCATTCCACTGTATTCTGCTTTCTTTCTCCTCATGTCTTTTTTTTAAGCCTCTGATTTCCTTGCTCCAGTTAGGGAAGAGGGTCCCCTACAAATAAGTATGATGTTAGTAGTCACGCAGACGTTGTGCCCTTCATGGCTTGGGAGCTTTATCATTTCTGAGTAATAACGTTCTAATGTAGGTTTCTCCAAATTGTAGGTCCTTGGCAACACCAAAAAGGACACACTCAATACAATGGTCAGATACACATGAACTCCTCATGCCACAGAGTCCAGAAACATGGTTACCATGGAATAATGTGGTGTAAGTTGCTCTGCCCTTATTACCAACACATGCAGAACGCTAGTCCTCCCCAAATCCCATTCGATCTGCAGCTTGCCCACACTGGAATTATCCTTTCCAGTCCCTGCCCCATGTGCCTTCTTTTCCCTTAATGCATCTCCTTACAGCCCCAAACTGCTGATATTTTCAGATAAGCACAAAGAATAAAAAATATGTATACATATTTTCCAGAATAAATTATCTAAACAAGGCTATTGAGATGTATGAAGTACTTTCCTGAGAAGTCATCAGATGCGTGTGGGTTAACATGTTCTCATCTTTCAAACAGAAAAAGAAAAAAAGAAAAGGTTTGGATACAGTGGCGAAATGCAATACAGATACTAAAAGAAATGAGCTTTCACAACTAAAGCATTCAGCTAAGCTAACTTTTTCTTTAGGGCAAAATGAGACTATTTCAAGAACACCAAAATGAAATCGTCAAGCGTCTATCAAGCTCACAAGGCAAATAAGAGCTGAGGACTCAGAGTCAAGAGAAAATAAGGTCTCTTCCATCTCGCCCCTCCCGAACATCAGCCCCGTCAGAAAAGCGAGGCAGGGTCACCTCTGTGATCAAGAGTCCTCCCCAGTCTCAAAAGACGCAGCCAGGGACCCAGCACAGGAGTGGCCGGTGGAACTCTCGGCCGCAGAACCCCTCCCACCTCTGCCATCCACTCTCCGAGTTTTTGGAGCGTCGGCACTGCCTGGGTAGCAAGGGGCAGGGAGGGAAGAGGGGAGGGAAAGGAAAAATGGGGAAGTGGAGGAAAGAAGAGGGGGATGAGTGTAAGGAAGGCGATGGAAGAGGGGAGGGACGGCCAAGGGTGGAAAGCAGTAAAAGGGCTGTGTCGAGAGCAGATATGAGGCGACGTGGCACAGCACATAGAATCCCCCTCCTCCGCGGCAGTTCGCCCTCGAGCGCACTCAAACCCCTAGTAGAAAAACAGGAGACAGCTCACCCGGGAAACTACGGTTGGACCGTCTAACTCAGGGTCGCGCTCGGCCTAGAGGGGGCGACTTCCGCGGATTTCGCCCCTGGGCCCTTGGCAGTCCGCTCTAGGATTCCGGAGGTTCCCCCTCTCAGTGGTTCGTGAGCTGACGACCTGAGCAGTTTGTGAAGGGGTTCCATTTACTCCGAAGAAGGCATTTTACACTTTTTATTTCCTTTAATCCTCTAGGACAGATGACAGTCTTCCTCTCACATATAAGAAAACTGAGAATATTTCGAGGTCAGACAAGTGATAAAATAGCAGAGATGAAATTTCAACCTAGGTCAGACTCAGTCCCAACTCCTTCCAACTGCCTCCCAGGCGAGCCACCTTGTGACTTAACACTCAGGGAGTAATCTCTAAATTAAATTGTAAATTTAATACTATTCCAATAAAATTACCAACTTTTTAGAAGTAGATTTTAAAGTTCACATGGAAAAATAAATAAGCAAGACTGCCTGTAAAAACTCTGAAAAAGAAGGGTAATGAAGCGATGCTTACCCTAAAGGATGTTAAACACATTTAATTAAACAGTCTGGTACTGGTGAATGAGGTTGGCAGATAAGTAGGACAGAATAGAAAGTCTAGAAATAGACATAATCACGTGCAGAAATTTAGAATAATAAAGATAGGAAATCAATCGGAAAGGATAAATATATGCTTCAATAAATGTTTTGGGGAGAACTGAGTAATCACCCGGAAAAACATTAAATTTGACTCCCACCTCACACTGTATACTGGGATAAATTACAAGTATATCAAAGTTGTAAATGTTATAAATGAAACCATGAAAGTATTAGAGGAAAATGTGGAAGAAGTCTTTTATAACCTCAAAGTAAGGAAGACCTTTCTAATTATAACCCAGAATCCAAAGGCCATAAATGAAAAGACTGACAAATTTGACTCACACAAAAAGAATCAAAACTTCTGTAAAGTAAAACAAATAAACCAAGAAAGAAAAAACACTTTACAATGAAAGTCAAAGATAAAAAAAAGTTAAAAATATTACAACTTATACCTTACACAACAGGTAGTAAACATGGCAACAGTAGAGCTGAGCTGGATGCCCTCCTGCCAGCCTTACTCTGGACATAATCAGACTCTGATAAATATTCATAAAGACACACCTTGATCCTATTAAGAAGAAAAAAAAATTTTTTTTTTTTTTTTTTTTTAATTCTCCCTAGGTCCCTTCCTTTCAGAACCTCCAAAAGACCACAGAACAATCTAACACAACTCTCCTGTAGTGGGAAGGGCATTTCAGCAGTGTATCCCTGGGCGGGAGCTGAAGAGACAGTGATTCTTCTTCTGCTCCCAGAGTTAGCATTTCTTGCCAGATTAGTTGCTGTGTGCAAGAGTTGGAAAAAATTAAATACATGGACTTATGAAGGAATCAATGTAAAAAGAGAACCGGACAGCCCCAGGCAGGTAAGAAGAAAAAGAAATAATTACAACAAACACCTAGATAGCGCTTCCTGTGTGCCTGGTACTATTCATGTAATCCTCATAACAATTTAGGTAGGTGCTTTTATTATCATTGTTTTACAGATGAAGAAACAGAAGTAAAGAGAGGTTAAGAGATTTGGTCAAAATCACAGGTAGTCTGGCTTCAGATTTGTCATTGATGTCAGGTGCTATTGAGTCAATTTCAACTCATAGTGACTCCATATGACAAAGTAAAACTGCCAGATAGGATTTTCTTGGCTGTAATCCTTAAAGAAGCAGATTGCCAGGTCATTCTGTCTCAGAGGTGCCAGGTGAGTTTGAACCGCGAATCTTTCAGTTAGAAGCCAAGTACTTAACTGTTTGTGCCACCAGAGCTCCTTGCTTCAGCCTTACATGCCTAAAAAGTAGGAAAAAGGAGAGAGGAAGAATCCCAAAGAGATTAAAAGTTTTGAGATGTTTGATAAATACCTCTCCCTTCCCATCTGCTGTCCAAGTTCATCCAACTCCCTCTCCAGATCGTCCACCTTAGCCACTGCCCCCCTACCCCTCATGCTGCCCCCAAACCCAGGCCTGGTGCTTCTCAGGCAGGATGGCTGGGGAAATTCTCCTTGGTGGGCATGTTTGGCCTCAGTCATTGTCAACTGAGCTGCTGGAGCCAGCTCAGAGCGTTTCTGGCGAGACGGTTTTCTAGTAACAGAATCCTCGGGCCCAGCAAAAGCAACTCCTCTAAAGATGTAGCCGTGCAGCTTGCTTGTATTCTGTGATTCAGGAAAATTCCTTTTGAGGGCCTCTTCTCCAGGAACACTTTTGTAAAAGAAACATTGTTTTACTCAAACAAAAAGGAAAGACTGCCATAGCTGTTACTCAAACTACTGCGGGTTACAGGAGTAAAAAAAAAAGGCAATGTCAAATAAGGGACTAATTTGCATAGAAGGCCTGACTAATCACATACCGTGTCACACGACATCTCTCTGCCATAGCCTCTGAGCACTGAGGGAGGGCGAAATGAGGGCGGGGAAAGATAATACCATAAGACAACAGCATCACGGTTGCTGGAAGGTGGCTCTGGCCTTGGTCTGGGTGAAAAAGTGACTCCCAAGAAAAAAGGAGATCATTTATTGCCAAGGTGAAACACAGAGGTCTACTCTACATTCAAAAGGTCATGGGCTCCAGTGGATCTGGAAGGCGAAGCCTTTCCTAAAACTTAAGAGCCCCTAATACTTATTTCCTATTATACACAGATCCCCCTTTTGTTTGCAAAGGCGAGCTGACACCAGACACACCAGGGCCGCACGTTGTAGTTGTGACTCAAACTCTGAAATCAGCAGCAAAGATCAGAGTTGTAATCCTGAGGAAAGCAATTCCAACTCTGGACCTCAGCAGCACTGAACGGCGCGGGAAAGCCCTTCCCGGGAAGTTGCATCTGGGCGGAATATCCACCACTTTAGTGGAGCGGCCCCTCCCGGGTGCCTTGCACACGCTCCACCAGGGCTCACCAAAACAGAGGTGGTAGAGAGGCTGAATTGCGCAAGGCGCATTCAACGCCGCTAGAGGTCGGCAACCAGCTTCAAGGCCGTCCCGTGGGACGGAAGTCTTTCTCAGACCTTCCGGGGCGGGCCAGGCGCTTGGAGATATTCGGGTGGGGTGTGGTTTCGCCCCAGGTGTGGGGTGGAGGTCGCTGCTTGGGGCTCCGCCTCCACTCACTCATGCCGGAAAGTCCCTCAACCCTGGGGTCATTCCCAAGGCTCCAGTTTCCCACCTCACCCAGGGATTTTTTTTGCTTTCTGAAGTTTCACCCAGGGTAGGGCTACCCTTGAATCTTGGCATTTAGACAGCAGCTGGGTAAAGGCCACATTTCTAGTATGGGCCCAAAGGATCCCTAAAACGGACCCACCAGGCCGCAGGAGCTCTGGTCTTTATTATTAGGGATTTAAAAGCCAACGCTGTGTGCTCTCTTGATTAGGAACCAGACACAAGGGCAGGGCTTTCAAAACACGACTACCCTCGTGCAAAATCTCACCAACTACTGTCATTTATGGAAAAATTTAACTCAAGACCGCACATTCAGTATACTGGTCTGGACACATCCCATAAAAGGAGTTATTTCTGAAGTGAGACATTACAGTTGGAGGAACAAAAAATGAGCCCATCCCATGGCAGGGCACGAATTAAGAACGTACAATAACAAGAGTCAGACTTGAGGGAGTAACCAGCCAAAAAAGAAGTGGGCAAAGCCTTAAGAAACCTGGATTCTATTTCCACCTGTACCACTAACTTGTTAGCGCAAGCCCTGTGGCCTCTGGGCCTCCATTTACGGAGTAATGGATTTAAACAATCTCAAAGTTACTTCTAAATCTAGCATTCTATAGACTATGAATAATTAAATACAACAGAGCAATGCAGTTCTTTCTTTAGTGTGTTACACATTTAAACTTATTTTTCAACTTGGGTTAATCCTTCCAAAAGCCAAAGTACTACTTGAGCTACACAAGACCAGTTGTTAGATGCCGCTGCTCCCAACTCACAGCAACTCCATACACGATGAAATAAAATGCTGCTTGATCCTGTACCATTTCCATGATCAGCTGTGGATCAGACTGTTGTGATTCATACGGTCTTCATTGGCTGATTTAGGAAGCAGATAGCCAGGCCCTTCTTCCTAGTCTGTCTTAGTATGGAAGCTTTGCCGACACCTGTTCAGCTTCAAAGCAACACAGAGCCTCCAGTGACAGCAGGGTGGTGGCTGTACATGAGGTGTACTGGCTGGCAGACTACTGTTTTTAAAGGTCCATTTTTAAACTAATTTAGGAAATCACATTTCTCCCTACATAGCTGTCTAACTAGGATTTTAACATGTTAAAAATGTTGGAAGTAGAAATGGGTTTTACTCAGCAATCTAACAACACGGTGGCTTGTGGTATCCTTAGTGAGCTGGTAATTATTGTCTAGTGGCTGCTCAAGGGACTGTGTAGGGTCATGTGTTGTCCCCAAAGCGAAATCTTAGATCACAAAGTTAAAGCCCCCCTGCTAAAGACAATCTCCAGTGTTTTACTCTGGAAGCTAAGGCAAGACACCAAAATACGGTAGGCTGAAACTAGACATGTACTCTTCCAACACCTTCCATTGGCACAGAAATGGTGGTAGATCTGAAGTTCAAAGCAATCTTAGAACAGCAACAATTTTATTGTGCCTAGTTCCATTATCACTGACATTCTGGTGTGAACTCCAAACATTAAGGCTTTCTTTTATAATCACACAAACCACAAAATACATACACATTTAGGATTCTCTTAAAGCCTGGCATAGGTAATTTTTCTAATTGTAAAGCTAGTTTTTCATCTCTAAACCAGGGTTTCTCAATCTCAGCACTACTGACATTTGGGGTAGGATAATTCTTTGTTGGGGGTCTGCCCTGTGCACTGCAGGATGTTTAGCAGCATCCCTGGCCTCTAACCACTCTAGAGGCCAGTAGCACCCTGCCCCACTGATGGGACAACCAACAATGTCTCCAGATATTGCCACACTTCTCCAGTTAGGAACCAAGGATCTAACCCCAGACACAAAAGCCTATTCTCAAGCACTTTTGCAATTATAATTTTAACACAGTAGTCTTGTTTCCTATTTTCTTTCTTTCCCAATAAATAAGTCCGGTCAAACAAATTAAGAGCTTCGTATTTCAGCTTCTCACCCATATTCTTATACTGTTGGACTTTTTGGCCTTATTCTTAGTTGTACATACTATACTCTTTAGAAATATGTCTTTACTTTTTGAATGCACAAAGTGGCAGGAAGATACATACATCCTTGAAAACAGCTTAAAAAATTTCTGTAGATAACACTATAAATAATCCACACAATAATTCAACAAACATTTATTAAATGCCTACTGTGTGCTCAGCATTATACTAGGCACTATAGGGCACAGAGATACAAACGTAAAAGTTCTTACTCCTGCTCTCAAGGAGCTTACAATTTAATTTCAGAAATAAATACAAATGTAAAACAATACAGAATACTAGAAAATAATTACAAAGCAACATATAGTAAGTGCATGGACCACAGTACAACAAAAAGTAAAAAGGTAAGTGCTAAGGCAGCACAGAAAAAGGGAGGTGAAGTCAGTATGGGAGAGCTCACTTAGAAGATATAAAGGAAGCTAAGCTTTGAAGGGAGCGATGAACATGAGCTGGCACCAAAGAGCAATCCTTAAGCAAAAGGAACGGCATGAGAAAGGCACAGAGGCAAAGACTTGTAAGACAACAGTGGAAGGCCGTAGGAAGTTTGAACATGATGAATCAAAGTGACTATGCTACAGTGTTATGAGTGTTCAGGAAGATTAAGCATGGAGAGCAATGCAATGGAGAACTTGGCATACTACTGTTCTAACAGGAATTATTTGGTAGGCGTTCTTGAGAGAGAATGATCATGTTGGAAGCTGTATGCAAGATGAGGATCCTGAGAGTAAGGAAACTGGAAATAAAGAATTACAATAACCTGGATCTCAGCTGATGGGGATCTGCAAGGAGGGCAACAAGGGGATGGGACAAATGTAAAAGATCTAGCCTCAAGGAGAATGACTAAGAATTGGATCAGTTTAGCAAGATTCTGGACATAGTGAGTGGAAGGCACAAAAGATGAAAAGACAACTCCAAGATTGTAATAATAAATTCTGTTCAGAGTAAATAAGTTAAGCAATGATACCTATTTAAAAGGCAAATGAGGCCTGGGGAAGTAGAGTGATGAGTTCATTTTTCAAATACCAAGTTGTATAGGTACCTGTGGAAAATTCTACAGGTCTCAAGATGATCCATAAGGCAGGAAATATTAAGTTACTCAAATACAGAAGGTAAGTGCAACCAATAAAAATGGATAAATAAAAGTGAATACAGAAAAAGTAGTGAATAAAATTAAGACATGGGGATTATTCTCAGTGGGAAAGAGAAAAAAGATCAATGAAGAAATGCCAGACATTGGAGAAAAAGGACCTAAAAGGATCCCACATCCCAAAGGAGAATTCCTGAGATGTAAGGGGAACTGAACAGTATGAAATATTTAGAGATCAAGAAGGTTAACAATTAGGAAAAGGCCTTAAAATTCTTCCACTGACGATTCTAAGGACATTTCAGAAGAGTGCTGGTTATGAACTCCAATGAGGAAAAGTTTTAAGGATAGATTAATGAGGAAATGGGGTTGAAAAAACAGTAATGATAGGGGAGAAACAGAATGGTAGTTAGAAATGGGCAATGAGGTTGAAGGTTTTTCACATTTTATACTGTAGATGAACTTAGTATTGTCATACTAACTGTTCATCTGCCTGCCTTGGTACATTAATATTTCATGTCTATCTACAATTCTACTTTCCCTTGGGCAGTTTAGAGAAAAATATATTTGAATCTGTAAGTTATTGCTTTCTGTTCCCAGTTACTCTTTTAAACATGTTTTATTTGTACAATTTAGCTTTCTAATACTACCAAAACATAAAAAGTATCAACATTTGAAGATGTAATTATAACCCCAAATGGCATTTTCAACCAATTTTCCAGTAATTCTAATGGAGTTGCACTGTATTATACATTCTCTTCCCCTGTACCTCTTATGACCCGGGATACATATTTTTAAAACAGCTGGCCAGGGTTAGAGTGTTCATTAGAGATAGTACAGGACAGTGGTCAAGAGCACAGGCTCTAGAATCAGACTGTGTAGGTTAGAATCCTTACTCTATCACTTACCAGCTGTGTGACTCTCTCAACTCTCTAAGCCTTAGTTTCCTCATCTATGAAATGAGAATAATATTTATCATAAGCATGAGAAATGTTTAACCTAGGGCTTGGCACACAGTAGGTGCTCAATAAATGTCGGTTAAGAGCTTGGCTGCTGCTAACCAAAAGGTTGGCAGTTTGAATGCACCAGCTGCTCCTTGGAAACCCTATAGGGCAGTTCTACTCTGTCCTATAGGGTCGCTTTGAGTCAGGATTGACTCAGTGGCAGTGGGTTTGGTTTATTACAATTATCATTATCTGGAGCTTCAGAACTAAGAGCAAAAATATTTTCTCCTTATGGGAATTAGCCACCACATTCTAGCACTGAAACCTTGTTCCATAGATAAAACCTTGTTCCTAAGATAACTGTCCTAGGATTGTGCTAGATGGCAAGAGTTGTGGAAGAACCACCTCATCATACCAGGTCCTAAAGCACGAAGCTGAAGACGACAGAAGAAAGTAGCTGGTGAATAGTTCATTTCAGATTAGGAGCCAAAAAAAAAAAAAAGAAAAAAAATCCTGTAGGATAAAGGAGCTTAATGCATGTATGTTTAGGTAAAATAAAATTTGAACCATTTATATAGTTAGGGGCTCAAAACAAGGTCTCATCAATGCTATTCTAACGCCAAGAGTGAGAACCAGGGACCATGAATAAACTTCTACTTATGCCCTGAAAGAAACTACAGCCTTGTTCTACTGTTTTATCCTACTTATCTATTTCTATACATGTGCTGAATCAGCCTTGATAGTTCTTTCAAGTTATAGTCTTTTCTCACATTCACCTCAGGATAACACTAATCTTTCTGGTCATATTCTTGATTTCCTTTCTCTGAATTTCTATCAGAATCTTGATAATTTTGAGATTTAAGTAATCTGGCTACACGGTACTCTGGGTACTGATCTCTAAAGAGACATTAGCTAGTACATCTATACTCATTTCAATGTTGCTCTGCTAAAATAACTTTTATAGGAATTGAAGACAAATGCTCTTCTGAAGTATGCACACGCCTGTATATATGTATGAGCACATGCACGCGTGTATTCTCCCTCTGACAACGTACCCATTCTATGTAATATGTGCACACAAGGTAGCACCAGCCCCAGGCAGAAGTTATCTTACAGAGGGTAAGGCACAAATGAAGCAGGATAGCAAAGATCTAGAGACAACTAGATTTGTTTCTGGTTTCTTCAAATTTCAAGTACAAGGGAATTAGGAATCGTAATCTATAGGTCAAAAAAAAAGAACAAGAGGTAAGAAAATGAAGGATAATAGAAAGAAATATTTTGAAAAAGTTTACCAAGAATTACAAGTCACAGCTGAGTACCAATGGCTTAATCAAACAGGTAACATTGAAGTTCATCTTAATGGTCAAGATGGGGATGAGAGGGATGTTACAGGGAACCAGCTTATGATCCAAATTGTGGCTCTCTATGATATAAAATTTCATGACTGATTTTTAAAAACACCAATCATAAAATAGCATGATTAATAAGTGCTGTCCCATACAGTCACAATGTGAAATTGGGTTACTTCTCTTGGAATTTTCTTCAGAACCTATATCATATTCTTCTGAATGTGCTTAACAGAATCAATTTCAATTTTGAGAGTGGATTTGATTTTGAAAATAACCAAAAGCTACTCGATTCCAAGTCTGGTGAAAAAGTGAGTAATCAAACAGTTAAAAATGAGATCTGACTCAAGAGTTATAGAACTACTTTTCTTGTATTGTTTATGAAACAAGGAATTCTGGCAGTATTCCAAATAAATAGTGCTAGAACTGCCCAATTTTAAAGGGCAACCCATTTTTGGATGCATAGTTCTGGTGTGTTACTTTAAACCAGCTTCATCACTTTATACAGTAGCCTTTGGTATACTGAAAGCCTCCAAGATGAAATATAGTACCTGGTGATGATGAGATTCATAGTGTATCTTTGCTGGTAAATTACAGACACAGATTACAGATGGAGTTCACCAGAATTTAGAAGAATGAGGAATTTGAGGTAAGATGTTTGACAGATTATCTCTGTGGATAATAAAGTTATAATGGTAATGGCAAGAAACAGAACAGAGAATGATGAATGAGATGCTAAGGCCATCTCTGGAAGTGGGTCCAGGGTAATGACAAGAGTGACAGAAAATCCAGTCAGGTGGTTTGTGCAGGCTGACAGGAACCTGAGAGAGCAGTACTATAGTGGGATATTCTTTGCATGGATTTTAATGTCTTCTTTAAGCACCTCCGTCTTCTCTTTCTCCCGTGTGATGCCATAAATAGGATGGTGCAATTATCTATTTGTACCATGGCTTATAGTGGGGACGTGGAAAGGAGAGTCAGAAGTCACCAAAGGTATAACCATCCAAGCTCAAGAGCAGCCGGGCTGAGTCTCCACTCACCTCTTTCTCTGCATCACTCCCACAACCATCACTAATGCGTCCACTTCCTTTGCTGACACAGGTACTGGGACTGGGAATGGTGAAGGATACAGATGTTCAATGACTCAGTGGAGTCAGTGAAGGTGATATATGAAGAAAAATGCTGGAGTGCTGTTAAAAATACAGCATTCTGAGTTTGCATGGAAATATGGATTTCCACCAACTACAAGGAAAATTAGAATAAAATAAAATGTACACTTAATCATAAATGTCTGTAAAAATTTCCCTACAACTAGGATCTTAGAAAGCTAAATACAAATGTAAGTCTCACACAAAGGCTGCTGCTTAGAACTCTACAGAAGCCTCTTAGATCATAGGAAGGCCACAAGGGCACCTTCAGGGGAATAAATGGGAGAAAGGAGTCACAAAGCATGGGAAGAAGCAGAGGAGCTAGGAGGGAACAGCCTCTCCCCAAACTATAGCTACTCACCCAAAAGACAGACTTAAGTGCCTTGAGCCACGGCAAGCAGCTAATGCTATTTTAAGTTTCTACAGGATATATCAGGCCATTGGGAGCTTCACTCCTCAGACACCTCCCACTAGTTAATCCAATCAACCTGCATCAATGCACCGGGCCCAAACTACTGAAGACCTATTCTAACTTTGCCACCAGTACTGATTCTGACACTAAAGTTGTAATGGTGACAAACTTTCTGCCTTTTTACTACACAGAAAGATCTCTCACCAGCATGTGGTGTCACTAGTGCTAAATAATGTTCAAACTATGACTGAAGCTTTTGCTAAACTCCTATGGATTCAGACTTTTCTCCACTGTGGATTCTCTGATGTCGAATGAGACTCGACCTCTGAATAAAAGCTTTCCCGCACTCATTACATTGATAAGGCTTCTCCCCTGTGTGGATTCTCAGATGTTGAATGAGGCCAGTGTTCCCATTGAAAGCTTTCCCACATTCTTTACATTTATAGGGTCTTTCTCCAGTGTGGATTCTCTGATGTTCAATAAGGCCTGACTTCTGACTGAAGGCCCTCCCACACTCATTGCATTTGTAGGGTTTCTCCCCAGTGTGGCTTCTCTGATGGCCAATAAGATGTGAGCTCCGCCTGAAGGTTTTCCCACACTCATCACACTCATAGGGCTTCTCCCCAGTGTGGATTCTCTGATGTCCAATGAGGTGTGAGCTATGACTGAAAGCTTTCCCACACTCATTACATTCATAGGGCCTCTCCCCACTGTGGATTCTCTGGTGTAGAATGAGGCCCGCACTCTGGCTGAAAGCCTTTCCACACTGATTGCACTGATACGGCTTCTCCCCAGTATGGATTCTCTGGTGCAGGATCAGGCCTGTGTTCTGACTGAAGGCTTTGCCACACTCTTTACAGTGATAGCGTTTTACTTTGTTGTGGATATCCTGATGGGAAAGAAGGGCTGACCTGTAACTGAAGGCTTTACCACACACGTTACACTGATAGGGTTTCTCCCCAGTGTGGATTCTCCAGTGTCGAACAAGGCCTGAGCTCTGAGCAAAGCTCTTCCCACATTCATCACATTTATGTCGTCTCTCTTGTGTGGGATTTCCCCGCTGCCTTTCTAATCTGCCCAGAAGGTCTTGGGCTTCTCCATGCTCAAGACCCCCGATAACATCCCCGTTGCATTTGGCAGCTGTCTCTCCATGTGGCTGGATTCCAGCAGATATTACCTGTTTTGAAGCTAATTCCCTGTTCTCATTCCTGGTCTCACCACCTGAAATAAAAATGTAATAAAACAAATAACAAGTCAATGTTACTTCCTATTCTCTATGTTAGGATAAAGAAATTGAAGACAGGGGAAAAATAAAACATATAAAGTAAACATAAAGCTTATATATGTTTCCAAAATTGCTTCATAATACAGGGAGGTATGAGCAGGTCAAGCAGAAGTACCACAGGAAAACTGGGGAAGAGGTGCCATGAAAAAACAGGGTTATCAGAAGGAGACAAAAGTAGAAAAGGGATCACCTGAGGAAAGGTAGAAGTTGGAGAGTGGGAAGGAATATGGAAATACTGAAGATCTAATGAGTGGGATAAAAACAGGCAAATGCCGCAAAGAGTCACTAAAAGAAGGAGATACAATAGGCCTAAGTGAGAAAAGTCTGTGTAAGAATCGTATGGAAACTGAGAGTAGAATAAAGGTAAACTCAGAGCACTAGAGAGATGTCAATTTCCAACTGGCAAACAGAGTACTACCCAGTTACAAGCAGTAAGGTAAGCCCCAGATTGGAGAATAAAAACTTTCCTTTTAGACCTAAAGAACACTCAACATTGTATCCTCTTGTGGGACCTTGAGTTTAAACTCTAACCCAGTGTTTCAGAAAGCCCACAGCTACCATACACATAAAAAAATTAAACATACAAACAACCTTATTAAGTTTAAATTACCATTGCTTTCCTTACCCAGGGAGAACATGTTTCTGTAGTTCTCTGTCCTGTTATCTCTACACAGATCCCTCTGTGTTGGATCAAGAAGCCACTCCTCTCGGATAAGGGACACAGCCATATCTTCGATCTTCTCCAAAGTCTGAAATAAAACAAGATTCCCACTTAGGGACTGGGACTGTCCACAGACAGACCTACAGTGTCAGAGAGATCCACTAGTGTTAGGACATGATTCAAGAGGAGGAAACACACAGTGTAAAGGGATCTGACTGGCTGGAAAGAAGAGAAAACTCTACCAGATTTATTGGAAAATCAAGGATCAATCTGTCTCTATGAAAAAGAATTGGGGTGAGTCTTGGATAAGTTCTGCTACAGACAGTCTGGACATGGGGTAGACAAACATTGCCAAACTGAGCTATCAAGTTTCAGTGAGAAGGAACACAGCTCACCTGGAACCCTGCTGTGAGAAGTGCAGCTGCCATCTCCTGGTCTCCAGAGTTTCTTTTCTGGGAAGGGACAGGACTCTGAGAAGCAGATGTGGCTGAGAGGAGATAAGATGCTATGAATGAGACCAGCCCTGTCCTGTGGCTATGGGAGACACACTAACTCATTCCAAAATTGTTAATATTTTAGCACATATGCATGCCAGAGATTTTGTGCATGAAGTGCTGACATGTTGGGCTCTGTGCCTACGGTTGTCCACAAAACATCTGCACTTATGTCCTACTCAGTCTGAAGTTAACTATCAAAAATAAAAAGTGTACTAGTCTCCTAACAGGAATCCCTTTCCAATTTCTTCACTAACACCAAAGCTATTTCTATACTTGTGCTTGTGAACTGTATTTCTTTAGGTTCTGATCTCTTGGCAAACTGAGTATGAGCACCAATCTATCTCTATTAACTTTACTACCTTTCTGAAATGTCTACCTTAGCTGCCAATATCTACTTCCCATATACACCAGACAGCTTATTACCAAAATCATCATAGGCTACTGTATTTCAGTAAACAAGCCTTAGGACTTTAGACAAGAACCATATTATCAACTGAAATGTTCTATGCTTCTTTTTAGAAATATTAAAGATCCATTTACGTAGAATAAACTACATAAATAAAAAAATACAAAAAAACAGTACAAGATGAGACTGGAACATCTTGCTCTGCAAGAATGTAAGGGAATTCTGCAAAAAGGATGGGGACATGTCAAAAAGATACAGGAAACAGACTGAGGGGCTTTCTCTGGCCAAATTGGAAACAATTTAAGCATCAAAATAAATATCCAAAAACCAAACTCGTTGCCATTGAGTCGATTCTGACTCACAGCGACCCTATAGGATAGAGTAGAACTGCCCCATTGGGTTTCCAAGGAGCAGCTGGAGGAGTCGAACTGCCAACCTTTTGGTTAGCAGCCAAGCTATTAACCACTGCACCACCAGGGCTCCAAAATAAATACAGTAACAAAATATTTATAAAATAAAATTTAAAATTGTGGGTCCACACTAATAAAATAGAATAATAAAATAAAATGGAGAAGGAAATCTCTCCCTTACAATGAAAAAAAAACAAAACAAATAACAACTAATAAATACAGATGGAATGACCACAATTTTATAACCATCTTAATAATCACTGGTTCAGTCAAGAATCATCAAAGGATGTTAAAACTAGAGCTTTAAGTAACAAAAGTTTGATGAGAAGTAGTACATTTACATACACTCAAGAGTATCTTTCCACAAATAACTTATTAATTACAAAGGAAAAATAGTAACTTTACAAGGATTTACCCAGCAAGAATAACTTTAACAAAGTCATCAAAGTTAACCACTAATAACAGGATAAATTCCTGCTGGCACAGCATTGCCTCTGGGGTGTTCCCGCCGAATATGTACAACCTGAATCTAAACATGAGGAAAGAACAGACAAACCCAAATTGAGGGCAACTCCACAAAATAACTAACCTGTACTGTTCAAGATCATGAAAAATAAAGAAAGGCTAAGGAACTACTCCAAATTAAAGGAGACTAAAGAGACAGGACAACTAATTGCAGTGTGTGATCCTGGATTGGACTATTGGCCCAAAAGAACGCTGGGGCAACTGGCAAAATATGAGTATGAACTGTGGACTAAGTAATAGTACTGTATCAATGTTACATCTACTAAATGTTATGAATTTATTGAGAATGCCCGTTTGAGGAAACACATACTGAAATGTTTACAATTAAAATGGTATAATGACACCAGCAAAACCTCAAAAAAGCCTACATTGTAAACACAGCAGAGTAATAGAAAAATAGAAATGTGTGAACACATAAAAATCTCCAAATTCTTTAATTTGTTTACTACTGGGGCTGACAGTCTGTATTTGGTGCCTATATAAGCATTTAAACCCAGATCTTGAGACTGGTACATGAACACTCATTGTAGTTCCTTGTTCTCTAGGAACTAGACAGGCATCCCAAATGTACTTTATTTCCTTTCCTTTATTTCTACCCCTCATCACCAATGAAATCTGGCTCCTCACCTCTCTCTTGTGGCCCTTGGGGGTCTGGAGATTTGTGCTGGCTTGCCACAGGTTGGAGCTGAGTACTGGGAGGCTCTGCTGCAGACTCCTCCCAGAGTACCCTATGTCCATGTGCACGAGCTGGAACCTGGAAACAATGGGACAGCTTTATTATAAGGGAATTCCTCTGAGCTGTAGTAAACAATGTAAGAAGAGGATCAAGAGTACACCTACAGGGATACATGTTGGAGGAAAGGAAGAAGCAGAATCTCACTTACTTCCTAGGGGTAGTAAGGAATGCAAACATGTAGAACAGAAAGGAATCGTTTCTGCTCAGTGGTGAAGGAAAAGATTTCTGCTGATGCCCTCCCTGCTGCATGGAATAACAGTATTTTGTGCTCCCAAAGCACAGAGAACGACAAACAAAAACTTAAACTAGTGCTGTTCAGTGGAAAAAACTTTTAATAAGGAACCAAGAAACCCAAATTCTGGCCTCAGATCTATCCTTAATTACTTAGATGCCCCTGGCAAATGGGAATAATACAGTTGTAGGGAAGTTGAGTGGATAAAAAATGCATTTATATCCTTTAACAAAAATACAATACTCTAGAAATACAAGTCATACCATACTATAACTGTGACTACTTTTATTCTCATCCAACAGAAACCAATGCTCAGCAGTTGTTTTCCCACTGTGATGCCAATGTCCCCCCACCCAGCTTCTAGGACTCTCACAGTTGCAGCATGCACACCTCCTTCTACTTACTGGTCGTCCTAGTATATCAATCTGCCTTTCCAAATCCTCCAATAGGGTCACCACCTCCTCTCCGCTCTCTAGCTGATGTTCCTTAACCAGAGTCTGGAGCTCCTTAGGCAGGATGGTCAAGAACTGTTCCAGCACCAGCAGCTCCAGGATCTGCTCCTTGGTGTTCAAATCTGGCCTCAGCCACTGATAGCAAAGTGCCCGGAGTTGGATCAGAGCTTCTCGGGGTCCTAATGTCTCCTGGTAGCATAACTGCCTGAAGCGCACACGGAACAGCTCTTGGCCAGGAGGGTTATTATCATGCAGATTAGATTCCTGATCCCAACCATGATCTTCCTCTACCTTGACAATTACAAGGTCCTCTTCAGGTGCTTGGTCAGATGGGGATTGGGATGAAGGCTTTCTTGCTTCTGTAGCCATTTAAGGCCGGAAAAGCTCAGGAGGCTTGTTTCCACTACCTTCTTTATCTTCTCAGAGAAGAACTTTCCAAGGGTACTTCTGAGAAATGAGAAAATGACAAACAGTATTAAGGGAAGTCAAACGTTACAGTAATTTACCAAGATACCTTAATAAACTCCCTACCATGGCATGAACCTCATGGGTCAGCCATTTAAGTGATCCTTTCCAATACACCCTAGAAATAACTTCTTACCTCTTTAACCTTTCTGCCATGCCAAATCTATCCAAGGAATAAATCTTCACGCAAAAATCCTCAATGAAATTCTAGCTAACAGAATTCAACAACATATCAAAAAAAATAATTCACCATGACCAAGTGGGATTTATATTAGGTATACAGGGATTATTCAACATTAGAAAAACAATCAATGTAACCCATTACATAAATAAAACAAAAGACAAGAACCACATGATCTTATCAATCAATGCAGAAAAGGCATTTGACAAAGTCCAATACCCATTCATGATAAAAACTCTCAACAAAATAGGAATAGAAGGGAAATTCC